ATTAGCATTGTTCAGTGTCTAGATTTTGTAGTTTTTCTTTAAAGAGTGGGGACTTTTGTTTTGGCAGGCCATTAAGTTATTTGTGAATCACTCTGATCCCTTTGAAATCTATGTAATAATTTTAAAAAGTAAGTCTGGAATAGCCTTTATCCTTGGGGTACTTTTTACCATATTTCTAAGGAGTGGCTCTTCTGGAGTCTCTACTTAATGTCCCAAAATTTAAAAAATCTCTCTTCATGCTGGCTAGTTAGACCTTGACTGTCTCCCAACTCCACATGAGCTCTAGAAATATGAGGTCTGTTTAGAGAATATCCAGCCATGTAATATGAAAACTAGAGACATTTACTGAAGAAGATACAAGATACAAGAAATATTGTACATAGGACAATGACGCCTCAGTCCGCTTCAAAGTAGGCGCCTTGAGACCTCACAGTTTTCCCAATGAACATCTGCTATTCCATTGTAGTTTCCTGAATCTCATTGGTGGTCTGCAATCTCTTTCCTTTCAAAGGTGAATTTAGTTTTGGGAAAAGTCAGACATCACAGGGAACCAAATATGGGCTGCAGGGGAGGGGTTGGAGTCACCTGGGTGATTTGATGTTTTGCCAGAAAACTCTGCCTGAGATGTGATATGTGAGTAGGCATGTTGTTTTGATGAAGCTGCCAATTACCTGTTGCCCATAGCTGTGGCCTTCTGAATCATCTGAATAGTTTCCATGGAGGAATGTTCAAGCTTAGTGCAAAACTTGATGCAGCTTTGTTGCTGTACTCACTCAGTCATTTTTAATGTGACAGTCACACAGTACATGTGCTCACTCACCAACTTCTACCATCACCACTGACTAGTGCTGTGAAGTTGTCATTGTTCACACATGTGCATGCCAGTCTACTCCTTGGCTGCTAGGTCACATGGATGTTGTGCAAACCATACTCATTATATTATCAATGGGTAGATTTTTTCCAGACAGATCTTTATTCAGCTTACAGCTTCTCAGTGACTGCTTGAGATAATGGAGTTTCCTCCTGAGCATATGAAGTTTAGTGTTCAGTGAAAGACTCAAAGGGATTATTATACAAATTTCTGGCTTTTTTTAATTCCTGTGTAGATTTTTTTTCCTCTGTGGTATTTTATTCCACAAATTCTAGCTACCTCAGTCTGCTCAACTCTGATTTCTGCCTCCTAAATTCAGCAAGACTACTCTGTTTTGCTTGGGCTGCTTCTCACTGTACTACGGCCTTAGAAGTGCTTTCAGACAGAATGCCTAGCCAATCGCAGAGCTCATTTAGTTTGCATCTCTTGTCTTAGGATTACAATTAAGCCTGTTTTCTAATGTCTAAAAATGATAGTTTCATTGCTTTTGTTTAGTTACTATAGGAGGGTGAGCCTTGTATTAGTTACTCCATAATGGCCATTGTATATTTTTAGCTAGCTTACTTGATGAAATTCTCATTTTGACTATATTTCTGTAAAAAACCACCAAATAAAGTGTAAAACATTACAAATAATGAAGATACACTACTTCTGTATAATCACAGATATTACACATGTCTGTCTAATAATAATTTCCAAAAAGGAAATAAGATTAGTGGATTTGACTTAGTCATAATGAACCTATGCTATCCTAAAGGGATCACTTCTTTCTCTTCATAAGTCATCTTTTAAATAGTATTTTCTAGAATTCTGCCATAATATATCATGTTCACTATTAAGCTCTTTACATAATTTGTTTTTAATTATGAAAACATTTGTCTTTATCTGTTTTTTAAGTATAAAAATAGTTGTTTTTCTGGTCTCTTGACACAATATTTATAAATAACATTTATTTACTTATCGAGTGCATACTAATGTGATTGGCAGCATGCTAAGTATTTTATATACATTATCTTTCATTATCACAAAACTATCAATTATTTTCTTATATTATCTTCATTTAGTATCTCCATTTACTATATTTATGAAATGAGAATAAAAAGTATAAAATAATATGCTTAACAGCACACAACCAGAAAGAAGTAGGGTGGAGATTTTGAATCAAGGTATTTTGCTTAGAAAATGCCAGTTTAACCATAGTATCACCTTCCTACATTTTTCATAGCATCGCTTTTCTAAAGTTTCATTCATAGTATTCACCTTTCTAGATTTGTATGATTTTTCAGAATTGGATTATAACCAAGCTTCTTAATTCTTTGTTCTAAATATCATTTGAGATACCCAGGCAGTGGCAAGCATGAGCACTCACATGGGGCCTTCAGCGTACATCAAGTGTATTCTACTGATTAATTCACTTAATCTCTACTCTTAGGACAATGCACAGAAATAGAACAGTAGGGAAAAGAACCACAGAAGCATAAAACTGCAGACTCAGTAATTCAAATACATTAAGGGAAGGTTCTATAGTAACTTCACATGGGTGTTGTTAGTGTACAAAAGGCTGAAACACGTTTTAGATACATAAGGTACTAATAGTGAGAAGTGCATTTTAAAGTTCACTGATATGTTTGGCACAGCAATGGCTATAGCACCTGTGTGGATTTAATTTGCATTTTTTTCCTGAAAAGGATGCAAAGTACTTATTTATACCATAGAATGTCACTGTTAGTGGCATTAGGAGGGGAAATCATTCACCAAAGAAAACAGACAAGAAACCATGAGAGCCAGACAAGTGCAATGTGTTGGAGGTGGAGGAGACCCATGGGAGGAAGAGATCAGTCTAATTTGTCCATGTGGAGAAGAGTAACAATTTTCCTCACAGGTGGGAATAATGAGAGCTGGAAAGAGGGCATTCTATGCAGATGGTACAATATGTATAACAACACAAAAGTATGAGGCAGGCCACATTCTCTTTCAGATACACATATACACATATTGCATAGACCATTTAAATAAGTTTAAAATTTTAGTTTTCTTCCTCAAAGAATTTATAACACAAATGAAGAGAGCAGGAAAAAGTAGGGACAGAAAATATCGTTAATGTCTGTAGAGGCCTGGTAATATAAATATCTGGTAAATGAATGAGTGAATGATGAATGAATATTTGAATGTGCTAAGTACCAAATGACTGATGCTAACATCTAGTACTACAGGAGGACAGAGTAGAGGATGTTTTGGGGGTAGTATGCTTAGGATAGGCCTTGAAGGACAAGTGTGGCTTGCTCCAGACTTTGAAAGGTCAGTAGAGTTTGATAAATGGCGAGAAAAGGTATCCCAAGAGGGTGAAAAACAGTGTGAGCACAAGCAACCAGGAGAAAATCATATTCTGGGGTGGGAGAGGATTAGTACTGAGAAGGGGAGACCATGAGGTAGGCATTACCAGGTCACGAGGGGCCATGAACTGTGTTCTGTAGTTTGTAGGGGGATCCTAACAGAGTTGTAGGCAAGGAACTGCCTTAGGATAAAAGCAACCTTAGTATTTCTGGATTAAGGTGTGTTATACATAGTTTGACACATTCAAAACATGTTTTTTACAATTCTTAAGCACCTACTGAGTACCTCACACAGGGTATTCCAAGATAAAAAAGACCCATTCCTTGATTTAAGGTACTTTAAAAATGAAAGTGGTGGTTCAAAAGGTTAATCTGGCAGTCATGAACAAATGTATTACTGAAGGGAGGAGATGCAGAGGTAGAGAGACCAGATATGAAGTAATTAATTAAGGTAATATAGGAACTAGGAATAGTGGTAGCAATGAGATCAGAGAGGTAGGTAGGGCAGGAACTTCTGGGGAGATCATGTGGGAGCTAGTAGGCCATGGAAATGACCTTGAATTTTGCTCTGATGTGTAAAGGCAGTGGAAGCTTTATACAGAGAGTGCTATGATCTGATTTACAGTTTCTAATGCAGCTTCACTCCACATTTTGTGGGAAGAATAAGCTAGTGGGAGAAGCAGGGAATCTTGGAAGTTATTACATATATGTACAGAGAGGATGGGGGCTTGGATTGGGATGATAATAGCAGGAGGGGGTGAAAAGTAGATTTTGGATATTTTCAAATGTAAGCTGATGATTTGGACTTGAAGTGTAAGAAATGGAGAGATGTCAAGGTGGCCTCTAAGATTTTTAGCCAGAGCAAATAAGTTGGTATTTACTGAGAGGGAGAAATCTCAGTGTGTGTGTGTGTGTGTGTGTGTGTGTGTGTGTGTGTGTGTGTGTTGGGGAGTTGGGTCTAAAATGGACTGAAAAAAATATATGTATATATATATGTATATATATACATTTTAAGTTTAGAGAAGCATTCTGGCCTAAAGATGTAATTTGTAATATTTGGAGTTGTCAGTGTATAGATATTTTTTAAATCCATGAAACTGGATGAGATCACCAGGGGAGTAAGAAGAGAAAGTAAGAGGCCCAGATGTTCCAAGATTTGGAGGATGGGAAGATGATAAAAAACCAGCAAAACAGGCTTAGTAAGGGAAGTGGGCAGTGAGCTAGGGAGAGATCCAAGGGAGAGTAATGCCGCAGAGGTCAGAGGGAAAAAGAGACTCAAGAAGACATAATTAGCTATGCCAGCTGCTGACTTTAAGTTGGGTAATATGAAAACTGGAAGTAGCTATTGAATTTGATAATATTAAGGTTACTGGTGACAAGAAAAATTCTGTTGATGACAATAACTGCAAGGCCTAAGGCCTAACAGAAATTGTTTCTTGAGAATATGGGAAGAAAAGAGAAGAAACAACCAATATTAATAATTATTTTGAGGACTTCTGTTGCAAAAGGAAGCAGAGAAATGGGGTGATGTGGGATCCAGTGAGTTTTTTACTTGGTGGAAATATCAGTTTGTATGTTTATAGGTGCATGGGAATGGTCCATTTGAGAAGGAAATATTGAGGACAGAGAAACGTGACTGTGGGAGGGGAAGAAGTGAACAAGCTAGACTTAGAGACAGGAGCAGGGACAGATCATTATGGTAATAGGGAATAAAGTCAGTAATGTACATGCAGATACAACTAGGTTGGTAAATTTGGTGATGGGTCTTATGGAAGTTCTTTTCTTTTTTTACTTTTCAGGGGAGAGTGCAAACACGGTCCCCCACTACCACAAATTATACAGTTTCCCATGTTTGGGGAAATTTCAGGGCTCAGCATACCTGGAGAGCAATGGGTGAGCCTCACCCTGGGAAAACCATCTTCTTGATCATTTTCTCTCTCCTGCCATGTAAGCATCTTTTCTTTTTTTTAAGTATACTTTATTGATTATGCTATTACAGTTGATCCATTTTACTCCCTTTATTCCCCTCTGCCCTGCATCCCCCTCCCACTAGCACCCCCTCCTTAGTTCATATCCATGGGTCATACATATAAGTTCTTTGGCTTCTCTATTTCCTATACTATTCTTAACCCCTCCCAGTCTATTTTGTGCCCACCATTTATATTTCTTATTCCCTGTACCTTTCCCCCATTTTTCCCTTCCCTCTCCCCACTGATAACCCTCCGTGTGACCTCTATTTCTGTGAATCTGTTTCTGTTCCAGTTGTTTGCTCAGTGAATTTTTGTTTCAGGTGCAGTTGTTGATATTTATGAGATTGTTGTCATTTTACTGTTTCTAGTTTTGATTTTATTTTTTTTAGATAAGTTCCTTTAACATTTCATGTAATAAGGGCTTGATAGTGATAAACTCCTTTAACTTGACCTTAACTGGGAAGCACCCTTATGCTTTGGATGTTGTAATGTTTAAAGTTGTCCCAGAGGTTTCTCAGCCTCTCCTCATTTTTTTGCATTCTTCTTTCTTCATTCCATTCTGGTTGGATATTTCTTTCTTTCTTTAGTTCCAAATCATTGATTTGAGTCCTGGTTTCCTTCCCAACACTGTTGGTTCCCTGTATATTTTTTTATTTCTCTTTGTATAGTCTTCACTTCTTCCTTTATTTTGACACCATACTCAACCATTTCTGTGAGCATACTGATCACCAGTGTTTTGAACTCTGCATCTGATAGGTTGGCTACCTTATTGTCACTTAGTTCTTTTTCTGCAGTTTTGATCTGTTCTTTCATTTGGGCCGTATTTCTTTGTCTTGGTTCATCTGTTACATTGTAAAGCGCAGAGGCTTAGGTATTCGCCAGGGTGGGGCAACCCACTTCACTGCGTTGTGGTGCCATCTGTGGAAGAGGAGTAAGAGAGGGAACAATGCCACTTGCTCAGCTCTCACTTTTAGTCACTTTCCTTGCTTCCCACAAGCAGATTGTGCCCTTTCCAGGTGCTGATTCCTGGGTAGGTGGGTTTGGGTACTTTCTTGGATTCTGTAGTCCCCTCCAATGGACTTTCTGGTGAGACTGGGAGTTTCTCCCACTTCTGTAACCCCCACAGGTTTTTTATTATTTAAAGATTCTATTTATTTGTTTATTTATTTATTTATTTGTTTATTTATTTATTTATTTATTTTTAGAGAGAGTGGAAGGGAGAAAGAAAGAGTGGTACAGAAATATCAATGTGTGAGAGAAACACCAGTGGGTTGCTTCTTGACCCACAGCCTAGGCATGTACCCTGATTTGAAATTGAACCAACAACTCTTTGATTCACAGGCCAGCACTCAATCCACTGAGCCACAGCAGACAGGGCCCCTCACAGTTTTTATAGGCAGAGGTTTTGAGCTTTTAGTTCCTCAAGCTGGAACCCTAGTTTTCCTGGTGTGTCCCACTCTCCTGCTCCCTTGTTGTTCCTCCCAGCTTATCCACATGTGAATGTGGAACTGCCTGGTCCATCAGCCACTGCCTCACCCACCTGGCCTGCCAGCTTCCACCTTGCCATGTATCCTCTCTACTCTGGCTGCCCATGTCTGCCCCTCCTACCAATCTGGATGAATGTTTCTTTGACCCCTTGTTTGTCAGATTTCCATACAGTTTGACTTTCTGGCAATTCTGGTTGCTTTTTGTTTTTTAAATTGGTTGTTATCATTCTTTTGGTTGTGCAAGGAAGCGAAGCATATCTACCTATATCTCCATCTTGGCTGGAAGCCGTGAGGGGTGGAAGTTCTTTTCTGATTATTGCTACCTCAGTGAAATAAGAAATAAGGGTAAGGGATTTCAAAAGTTTTAAAAGAAATATAGTCAGTTTGTTTTTGCCCATGCTGAACTTAATGAGCTTGTTGATCTCCCAGATGAAAATATCTGACAGTCAATGTGACTATAACTTGAGTAATTTAGAAGCAAGAAAAAGAATTGTGTGCCATGTGCTAAGATGTGGAAGTTGAAGCCCTGAGAGTGGAAGAATTTTCCAGTAAACAAATACAAAATGTTAAAACCCTCACCTGTCCATAGTTGTGGGTTAATATAGGAAGTGAGAAATCAGCACAGAAGACAAAGTGTGCAATTCAGATCCCATCTGTGCTTGCTGCTTCTCTTATTCTTATCAAGGGGAAAAGTCACTCAGAATTTTGTGGGCCTTCCACTGTGCTATATATCCTTTCATTTAATTATCATGAGACCTATTGTTATGTTCTTAATTTTATTTTTCAATTGCAGTTTATATTAAATATTATTTTGTAGTAGTTTCAGGTAGATAGCATAGTAGTAGGATAATCATATTCTTTATAAAGTGATCTCCCTGATATTTCAAGTACCAATCCTGACACCATACATATTAGTTATTAGAGTACATCTGACCATATTCCTTATGCTGTATTTTACATCCCCATGACTATTTTGTAACTCCCAATAAATACTTTTCAATCTCTTCACCTTTTTCCCCAGTTCCCAAATACCTTCCCCTCTGGCAACTATCAGTCTGTTCTCTATATCTATGATCTGTTTCTATTTTGTTTGTTCATGTATTTCATTCTTTAAATTCTGAATATAAGTAAAATCACATGGTAATAGTCTTTGTCTGACTTCTTTCACTTAGCATAATATTATCTAGTTCAATTCATGCTGTTGAAAATGGTAAAATTTCATTCTTTTTTTATGATTGAGTTATATTGCATTGTACATACAAGTATATACCACAACTTTTTTATCCATTCATATATTGATGGGCACTTGTGTTGTTTCCATATGTTAGCTATTGTAAATAATACTGCTAATGTTCTTTTGAATGAGCATTTTGTGTTTCTTTGGATATATACCCAGAAGTGAAATTTCTGGGTCATAGGGCTTTTAATTTTTTAAGAAACTTTGTATCGTGTTCCATAGTAGCTACACCAATCTGCATTCCTACCAACAGTGCACAAGAGCTCCTTTTTCTCCACATCCTGGCCAACATTTGTTGCTTATTGATTTATTGATAATAGCCATTCTAACAGGTATGCGATGGTATCTCATTATAGTTTAATTTGGATTATCAGATGATTGGTGATGTTGAGTATATTTCATATGTTCATTGGCTATCTGTATGTCCTTTTAGGAGAACTTTTTAAAAAACATATTTTATTGTTGTTCAAGTACAGTTGTCTGCATTTAGCCCCCACCATTCCCCCCACACAGCCATCCCCACCTCCCTCCCTTGATTCCACCCCTCCTTGGTTTTGTCCATGTGTCCTTTATAGTTATTCCTGAAAACCATTCCCTCCTTCCCCCCCATTAGCCCTTCCTAGCTCCCCTCTGGTTACTGTCAGATTGTTCTTAATTTCAATGTCTCTGGTTATATTTTGCTTGCTTACTTGTTTTGTTGATTAGGTTCCACTATCATATGGTATTTGGCTTTCACTGCCTGGCTGATTTCACTTCACACAATACTCTCCAGTTCCATCCATGCTGTTGCTAAGGGTAGGAGTTCCTTCTTTCTTTCTGCTGTGTAGTATTCCACTTGTAAATGTACCACAGTTTTTTGATCTACTCATTTACTGATGGGCTCTTGGGCAGTTTTCAACATTTGGCTATTGTAAATAATGTTGCTATGAACATTGGGGTGCATAGGTTCTTTTGAATTGGTGTTTCAGGATTCTTAGGGTATAATGCCAGCAGTGTAATTGCTGGGTCAAAGAGCAGTTCCATTTTTAGTTTTATGAGGAAATTCCATACTGTTTTCCATAGTGGCTGTACAAGTCTGCATTCCCACCAACAATGTACTAGGGTTCCCTTTTCTCCACAACCTCACCAGCACTTATTGTTTGTTGATTTGTTTATGATGGCCATTCTGATGGGTATGAAGTGGTATTTCACTGTGGTTTTAACTTGCATCACTCTGATGGCTAGTGATGCTGAACATCTTTTCATATGTCTCCAGAAGTGTCTGTTCAGATCCTTTGACCATTTTTTAAATTGGATTGTTTGTGTTCTTATGTGCAGTTGTGTGAGTTTTTTATATATTTTGGAGATCAAACTCTTGTCTGAGGTATCATTGGCAAATATATTTTCCCACACTGTTGGTTCCCTCTTCATTTTGCTGATGTTTTCTTTAGCCATGAAGAAGCTTTTTATTTTGATGAGATCCCATTTGTTTATTCTTTCCTTTGTGTCTGTTGCTCTAGGGGACATATAGGTGAAAATATTGCTGTGTGGAATATCTGACGTATTTCTGCCTATGTTCTCTTCTAGGACTTTTATGGTATCATGACTTATACTTAATTCTGTTATCCATCTTGAGTTTATTTCTGTGTATGGTTTAAGTTGGTGGATCAGTTTCTTTCTTTCTTTCTTTCTATTTTTTTTTTGGCATGTAGGTGTCCAGATCTGCCAACACCATTTACTGAAGAGGCTATTTTTACTCCATTTTGTGTCCCTGCCCACTTTCTTGAATAGTAAATGACCATAGAGACTTGGGTTTGAGCTCTCTATTCTGTTCTATTGGTCTATGTGTCTGTTCTTATGCCAGTACCAGACTGTTTTGATTACAGTGGCCTTGAAATATAATTGGATATCAGATATTGTGATCTCTCCTGCTTTTTTTTTCCTCAAAATTTCTGAAACTATTCAGAGTGGTTTATGGTTCCATATAAATTTTTGAAATGTTTGTTTTATATCTGTCAAATATGTCATTGGTACTTTAATAGGGATTACATTGAATCTATCAATTGCTTTGTGTACTATGGACATTTTGGTGATGCTAATTATTCCATTCCACAAACACAGTATATACTTCTATTTATCCATATTTTCTTTAATTTCTGTCTTCAGTGTTCTGTAGTTTTCTGAGTACAGGTCTTTTACGTCCTTGGTTAGGTTTGTTCCTAGGTATTTTATTTTTTCTTGTTGCTATACAAAAGGGGATTTTCCCCTTAATTTCTGTTTCT